TGAGAATTTTAGTGATAACTATCAAAACACGAATGACACAGAGCCAGCCCAGCAAAATTGGGTGCATAGAGGTTGATCGGGGCATAGTGGTGAAATTCCGAACAAAAGAAAGTAGTGGTCATGAGAAGCAAGTTAATACTTTTCTCTGGACTGGACGTCAAAAGTTTTTCAAAAGTGGTCATGCTGGAAAAAACATTTATTTTTATATGCATGGGTTTGTGTTTACTTTACTACACTACTTTTTTTTCAATTACCAGCCTGGCGGGTCTCCACGTCGCGAGGGAGGAATCATTGTTTCAATATATAGCAGCAACCTTCTGACATCATGTGTTGCTGCAGCAGTAATGTCACACAAGAGTACTACTAGAGGTACTTATGAGAATGTTGGAATAGCAACTCCTCGGCCACATGTTCGTGTTTTTTACTTGAACTTTTTGAGCTATGACTCATTAAAGTTTGCAGTGCCACGTCTCTCGACTAGCTAAGGCCTGAATGACATGATTAGGGCAGGCTCTGCAGTACAAGAAAGATGCTTCTCAACGTCTGCACGTCACCTTGCAAAAACTATACCTAACAATTGGAACATTTTTGCTTCACTACCATCTGCATAAATATAACGAAAAATAGCGCAGCGATGAAGTGCGAGCTGAGATTGGTGTTGTACAGTCGATATCCGAAAGTTGGGGGGTGTGTGTCCACCGGAAGTGACGTGCACTTGATAGAAGTGCGTGGATAAGCTGTTGCCAGCATGCTTTGCTGATAGCCAGCGATGTATGTTGGAAGCAGCTTATCCACATAGTTTCTATCAAGTGCACGTCACTTCCGGTGACACGCCCACCCCCAACTCACCGATATCGAGTATATCTGCCTGGGAGATAGCTTCTGCCACATCCATCAGAATCCGCCATTTCTGCGACAATAATACGATTGAAGGCAGAAGTTATGCCGAGACAGCAGAAAATACCACTACCGTTGCATCCCGTTGCCACTAGACAGTTTCTCCTACCCTTCGAGAAGAATGTCGAATCGTTGCCACAGGAGGGCCAAAGCAAGACCATCCAATGAAGAACTCATTGCCTAATCTGAGGTGTTGAACTGAGTCCGAAGAGAAGCGAAGTGCCTTCGACAAAAAAAAAACAACCAAATTTACAAGGATGGGTGGTCTCCAAGCTTCGTGTTTTTCTTCTAACTCTAGAGTTACGTAAATTTCAAACTTGTGAATGGCCGCAAATATTTTCGCCTTGGACTCGGTAGGGCGTCTAGGATATGATGAGTCGTCCAGCTCTTATAAGCTAGACAATCAAAATGGAGCATTTCTCTCGTATATACACCTTCCCTGAACGAGGCAACTATCCCGGTTTGCTTTTTTGATGACGAAAATAAAAGTAAAAAAGAAGTGAAGCAGCAGCTAAAGTGTTGCCTTGTACTTCCAGTTCAGTTGCCTGGATGTTGCACATAGCTGAATAATTCCTGGAACGGTAACACTTCGCGTTGCAAAACTATACGACATACCCCAAATTTTGAGTTTCTGAAGTTGCGAGAAGCTCTGCTCGAAAATGGCTAATGCCATTCGATTCAGCGTGTAAAGAAACCTACAAATGAGAATCTTCAAACAGATTTGTCAAATTCCAGAAATCTAGGATCAAAAATTTGAAAAAACGGCCGTTGCAAAATTATACGACATAGCAGAAATTTCGACAATTTTTTTGCTTCACTAAAATTTTTCCAAACTACTCCACAGTCGTAATAGCACTGTATTGTAGGTGAGCAGGCCACGGATTCGCCTTGAGGCGCCTTCACCCTGAGGAGCCTATCTGACATGTTATCTACCAATTTTTGTATGCCTAATCCCAGATACGTGCGTAATTTTTAAGTAGCTTCTTCTGCAATAGATGCATGGAGCTGTGCCAATTCCACCAGGAACAAACAACACGGGTAAGAGTGTCCCATGGGTTTTCCATCGGATTTAGACTTCGCTAACAGGCGGACCATCCCATTGAATCTACATGGTAGGTTTCAAAGCAAGTTGAAGTCGGCTCAGTAACATGTATAACCGCATTGTAGTGTTGAGAAACATGCCGATGATGACGATTCTGCGTAGTAGACGGTAGCCCGTGTTGTCAGAGCACATCATCGTGATCGGTAAATCTGTTGACTTTTCGTACAGATTGCACTTGGGCGAGATGCCAAACGACTTATTTGTTCTTAGGTTTTGCAGGTAGTTCTTCGGAGAAAGGAAGTATTTCTCCTAGTCGGCCAGATAGGTGGCATAGTGCAAAGATGATTTGAGCGGAAATTCCGTTTTTTCCCTCTCGAAGATGAGCTTGGTAACGCTGCACAACCTACAGTTGGTATGGCAAGCTAGATGTGGTCTTCATGGTTCAACGGAAGGGACCCCACCGACTAGCAATAAGTGGCTCAATCATCGCGTGCTACCGTCTACTACGCAGAATCGTCATCATCGGCATGTTTCTCAACACTACAATGCGGTTATACATGTTACTGAGCCGACTTCAACTTGCTTTGAAACCTACCATGTAGATTCAATGGGATGGTCCGCCTGTTAGCGAAGTCTAAATCCGATGGAAAACCCATGGGACACTCTTACCCGTGTTGTTTGTCCCTGGTGGAATTGGCACAGCTCCATGCATCTATTGCAGAAGAAGCTACTTGAAAAATTACGCACGTATCTGGGATTAGGCATACAAAAATTGGTAGATAACATGTCAGATAGGCTCCTCAGGGTGAAGGCGCCTCAAGGCGAATCCGTGGCCTGCTCACCTACAATACAGTGCTATTACGACTGTGGAGTAGTTTGGAAAAATTTTAGTGAAGCAAAAAAATTGTCGAAATTTCTGCTATGTCGTATAATTTTGCAACGGCCGTTTTTTCAAATTTTTGATCCTAGATTTCTGGAATTTGACAAATCTGTTTGAAGATTCTCTATTCGATAATGTATGAAGATTGAAAGACAAGCGTTAACTGTTGAAGCCGTCCAGGGCGGCATATTGATTAAGTTTGTGAATGAGTACAGGGTACACATGGGCTTTGGAAAAAATTTATTCGGTGCTGGGTTTTATTCTTGCTATTTTTTCTTCCATAACAGAATTAGTGGGTCGACTCGATCCTATAATCATTGGCTTACCATTACAGCTACTGGCGAAAGAAGTCCATGCAAGAAAAAAAGGAGGAAAAGCTATGAAAAGAGCCAATGAAAAAAGACGCAGCAACAAAATATGACCACAAAGAAACCAATAAAAAAGCAACACAATGAAGATGAGTGTGAAACCATAAGAATTCACAATAATCGCCGAATCGTGGGCAGGCTTCTCAATCTATTCGCATAATTGAATTTGGGGTAATTCTCAGCGTGACAAACAACGGCTCCTCAGCAACTTATTTCCTTAGTAAACAGTGGTGGGAGTCCTCGTACAAGCAACGAAATAAAAGGTAAAGTAAGGAGAGTAATATTGCTGCACACTCCTTTCATAATATTCACCCAAGGAATCTTTCTATAAAATTCCCCAGAGCAAACATGTGCTGGCGTTGAATTGCCTATTTTTCCTCGTACCATGAGTTGGGTTCCTACAGCTATGTGGTGCAATAAGCCACCTACTGTTAACTTTCCTTGTCCTTCCACAGTGAATTCTGACATCTTCGCCGCCACACACAGGCTTGAAGGGTTGTTTTAAGCTTCACACGAATCAAGCTTGGTGTGTCTATACATTAGGCAGTCCATGAGAAGGAAGTCCTGGATAGTGATGAGAGCCCAGCAAAAGCTACTGAGTTGTGCCTTGTGCCATCTTGACAATGTTGCATCCATATTTTGTGAAAATAGCAATCAACAACGGTGATTTCTACGCTACGTGTTCCTGCTCTCAACATGTCATTCTCGATGGAATTCGCTTACTACGTCATTGTTCGTCTGCGCAAATTAAGCATACTTGAAGGTACAATTGACCCAGTTGATGGAACGCCAATTGAAAAGCCTGCTCCACCAATAATGTAATAATGTGTCTTGTCGGTATGTACTAGCTAAAGCAAGCAGTCGATTAGTCATGAAGTCAAAAGACATTGCAGCTGCCAATTTGTGAGAGCATAACAGGTAACACACAACAATAACGACACTTGAAAACGAAGTGTGACTAGACAAACGTGACCAGTTTATGTGTTCCCGAAAGCCCCTGCATTCATTACCCATTCAGATCAGTAGTGGCATATCCATGCAATTCGGCCCACACAATGATTTTCGCCTTCAACCGATAAATTGCAGTTTTGTTCCAACAATCTGGTATGAAGCAATATAACAGACAGATATATAGGAACCATGACTCGTAGGATCTCTATCGAGAGCTGACTTCTGGACCGTGAGCGTGGTGCGACCACTTACATCACACCACCTTCCTTACAAAGTCCGATTTCGGTTAGTCTCGCTTCACTATAAGCAGTCAACAAAAAAAAAAACGCTTATTGTAGAAACGTCCATGGCAACTAGTCTCAGATTCACAGGCGCTTGCTGAAGTTAGGTTGAAGCCTTCAATATCAAACGCGCTTAATTTGAAAAGTTTGTATTCATAATTTTTTGAATCCCATTCTTAGCCACTAGGATTTCAGTCCTACATGTTTTGTAACAGTTCGTTGCTCCATGAAAATTGTTCATGTTTGAGGTAACGCAAAACGCAAGAGAAAACTCGACCCACAGCCCATGCTCAATCAGGACGCGCGTTAGAAGGGAGTGGGCGTATTTGACCCGCTGGCAGTGAAAATGTCAAAAAGCAGAAAGTGCTCACAGTGCCACTACAAAATTTACGTGAAAAAAGGAATGTATCTGAAACCCTTAATCTTCTGTCCTGAAATTATAAACAACCTTTTAAAAGTTTAATGATAGACAAAAGCTGAATCAAACATGCGCTGATTTCGAAGAAATTGTTCAAAAAAATGTGACAAATTGCTAAACATAAAAACGGCAGAATCTCTTCTAGATGAAGTGAGGTTTCCATTCAGAGCTTCCACTTCATCATTTCTTCTACGACTGGATCAGTAAGCTTGGCGTTGATAATCTTCTCACTGTGTATGTTGTGTGGTGAATACCACGCTGACTGGCAAACGTAGTGTGCGACGCAAATATAGAATTTCAAAAGCGGCTCACATTTTTCGTAGAAAAACATCTTCAGTGAGGTTGACATCTTCAAAGAACTCTGAAATTTTAAGTTGCAATAGTTTGGCTCATTTTTTCAGCAAAAGATGTTGGACGATAAAAATGAATGTCAGGAAATCGGTATCTATAGTTCTATGAAGTTCGACCAGGGTAGTATTGGCTGAGTTCCCCACTGGTAGAGTCGCAAGACTTGGCCAAAATGCTTCTTACAAAGCCGGTGGGTCCTAGTGGCGGAGCTATCCACTACATCCTAATTCTAGGAAAGCTCGACAGGGCGCTTATCATGTAAGACCGTGGCTTACTTGGAGCTTCTGTGCTCGAAGCCCGAGTAATACTAGAATTTTTCCTCGTATATCGTCATTCAAAAACAGCATCATCCAAGCGTTGATATACGAGAAGAAGCAGCTGACCATAGGGAACACGATTCTCATCGTGAATATGGGACCATCCTGAAAATACTCGCTTCACTTCCAACAAACGGCGTAATCACTTCCATGTTCAACCACTGGTGGTCATATGACGGGAGCTTGTGGATGACACTCGTAGTGCTAACGTTTTCGTTGGAACTCACATTGGAACTCAGCGAGAATTTTAAGTGGATAATATTGTAAATCAGGAGAAGCACAAATCCAAAAAAGAGTCCCAGCATTTGAATGTATAGGCGGCGCTCTTGTTTTACAGCCCTAAAAATTTTAGGAAGACATGACAATCAGTTTTTCGATGGTCAATAAAATGATTGGACTAACGTGCTGCCACTGTATCGGTTTTTCACAAGAAACCTCAGTATAGCTCCGTAGCATAAACTGCACAGAACGAACGTGATTGAGACGAAAACAGCGGCCATAGAAGTGGCTAACTATAAACGGGAACAATATAGAGCTGGGAAATAAGGTAAATATTGTTCAACACCCAGTTTTGTTCTTCAGGAGCCGCCAGACCTCTCCATGCTCTACCCCTTCCGCAATTATGAGGTCAACACGCCGTGCAGACAATGACAATGAATAAAAAGTATGCCTTGGGTAGAGGAAATCACTTTGCGATTATGACATTACGTTGGAATACAACATCAACTAATTTGAAACTTGGACTTTTGACGGTTGGCGCTCGCTGGGTGTATACTATATAACGCTTGGAGTGGCTAATTCTAAGCATTGTCGAAATATAGTGTGGTACCTCTACTGTGGCTTCTACCGTGGTTTATTTGTGGTCATTTTCGCTCTCCTTCTATCCCCCTTCTCTGCCCTCTCCTTCTGCTGCCACGGCAGCACCTTGTGAGTGTGCCCGGTGGATGCAACTTGCTGTTATCATAATCATGCCGTCACCGAGCGTTGATACCGCTAGCTCTGCTAGTTTTGTTGGCAGTTGGTTGACTCCTTACCATTTTATTTTGCAGACGAATAAAATTACCGACGCACCGACACACCCGGCACACTTGCGTGTCGTCACACCGAAAGGAGTATACACTGTCAAATCGACACACTAAGTTTGCGGCTTATCTTCATCACCATTACTTACGGTGATTGACTGTCTTTCTACAATCACTTCGAGGTTTTGCAAAGAGTGAAAGGTGGCATGGGTCAGAAGAAGAAGCGGAATGGAATAGACTGAAGGCACTGCCCATTGTACGATCGGCATTGCCCATCGGTGAGAAACGTTAATAAACTGAAAGCGGTTTTTTCTCACAAAATCTAAATGAACTCATCAGGTATGAACCGGAATTCAGAGCTACCTGTTCTAGGCGAGAACCGTTTCTGCACAACGAAATGTACCGCTGAAAAGTGATCAGCAGAACTCCGAAACATCGTATAAAAACTGATATATAGGTCTGATTGAAAGCCCATGTAGCAACATAGTAATCTTGATAATCCCAGTAGAAGTTGTCGAACAACTGTGCTACGCGTAGAGTCCAGAACAGGAAATAGTTAAGCATCACCACAATATCCACGATGCCCTGTAAAAGCTTATAAATTGCATTGTTTTGTTCGGTTACAAATTTCACCCAGCAGTTTCAGTTTTAGCTTGCTTTCGAGCCTATTACAATCAACTCAGTCACATTGCCCAGCATTGGCCCTTCTCTAGTTAAAGAACTCAAGCTTGACTGCAGAATTGAATTAATTCACTCATCGCAGAATAGTTTAGAATTCATATTGTTACTGGACTCCGCATTTTACAGGATCACATCTTCAAAAAAGTTCACACTCCAAATTTCATGAGTATAGTAGTTAATCACAGTTCGCGAAACAATTGTGTAGCTGTGAAAATGTAGTGCGAACGCTACTAGCAATTCGAACTGCAATTATTCCACTTGATTGAGTACGGTATTCGGTCTTGGGGCCCTTGAACTAGGAGCTTACGTAACAACAAGTAAAATCACAAGAGTGAAAAGGGACGAATTGCGTTGCGTAGTACCTGCGAAACGATAAGCAAGTAAAATGTTCTTCGTGTATGGTTATGTTTCCATTCCTTTACACAAATAACGATGATGGTTACGTAGAGTGGAAGTGAAACCGCGTTGATTGAAATAAATATCCATTGCGACCACATAGGAATCATTATCGCTGAGATCTATAATAGAAGTGTGTTCAGTTCAGATGTGATCACTTACTTTCAACAAAAGAGTTGAGTCCAACCTTCTCTAAGTACAGAGGTGTTCCACAAGTTCCTTCACTGTTTTTATTTTCAAAACAACGGCATATCTCTTGGAACTATTATTATCGAAACTATTACTAACTCACCCAATCAATCAATTACTCGTTCGTCGACATGGAGTCGATTAAATACTATAATTCACCACCATACATACATCTTTGACTTCACACCATCGTCTGTAAAGGGTACGAGTTGAAAGTATATTATAAAGGGGATCATACCGTAATGTAGTGAACCTAGAAAGGTTTTAGCCAGGCTCATACTAATGCAAATCGATAAAATTTAAGGGAGGAGATCTCATCACGAGGATTGGAGAAAACGCCAAATGAAAAGGTTCTACTTCAACTGGAAAACCTAGGGGTGAAGAACAGAAATCAAACTCGTTAGCGAAATTCAATGGGCTAGTTTCGATGTACGTTCAAAGCCCTCCAATGCTTTGCAGGTGATGACTGTAAAGTTGCAGCTGTATCTGTGGTTGTGAAGTAATTGCGGAATGGGATAAGATCACTTTCCTTTTTTGACATGTGGCATGGTGGGGGTTTTCACTTCGAATACCAGCTGTTCTCTTTTTCTGCAGAAACAACGGATCTCATCCCTGTAATTTCGCCTCAGAGTTGAGCGGTGACTGTGTTCCACCCGTTTCCCTGTTTTTCGCCTCAAACACCTGGTTTTCCGTTCCGTTTTCCGAGTTGGAACTGATATGGCTTAGAAGGCAAGACACAATCACGTATTTTAGGGGAGTGGCACGGGGGACGTAGTCCGATTGTTGGAAAGGTGATTGCAACTGCATAAAGGCACTGGTTGAGGACGTGCGTTACATACTATAAAGTCGGATTCCGATCCCATTCGATAGCTTGCCGGTGGGCTTATTTGGGGACTAAGCACGCCGCATTGTTTACAGGTCTGCGACGTGACTTTAATTACAGGGACGATGTTTGTGATATTGAAAGAGGGGGTGAGGCGCAGGGTGACAGCGAGCTTTCGTCGGTGTTTTGATGACGCAAAAGCTAAGTCAGTTTCACCGTTGCGCAGCCTTATGTTATTGACACCCAAGCGTCGGATATTGGGGGCAAGTAGTATTCGGGGAGATCGGTACCTGCACATTGTCGTGGCGTGAGAGAACTGGAAAGTGATAACAATGAGAGGAAGAAAACAGGAGCCTAGAAAAGGCAAATGTAGCCAATTCCCAGTCACGCGCCTTGGCGCTGACGTTGATACTTAACAGTGTTATGATGGAATAAGGCAGGGACGCTTTTTTGATTGGATAGGTAAAGCGTTTTTTGGTGTAACACTGCTAAGTGGTTGTCAGAGAGTGGTAGTTGGAACGGTTGATGAACGGGACCTGTCTTGAACGTCAAAATCTCTCAGTTTGTCACAACAGGCCAACGTGTCCGGGTTTGCGGTCACATCTTCAAACGGTTAGCCACAGGGTGATACTTGTGCGTAATTTGTAAAATTCGGTTTCAGAAATCCGAATTTTCTGACGCATAATTAGTCATTGTGTGGATAAGGGGACCGTGACGCGATGGGTGACTTGGAGTTGATATCAACTGGACATGAAGTTACAGCCGATTTAGACGCTCGATAACAGAATAAGCATAATAGTTACCGCTTGAAGGATTGCTTTGGTGACCAGACGGGATTGGTTTGGAAGATCACGTATGGCAATCCATAATGCATTGCGCTGTCTCAGGTTTAGTCTTGCGATGCGACATTGCCCAGAATGGAGACGTTCGAAGGTGTGATGAGAACTTTTTGAGGGGGAATACTCAATCATTATTGACGTTTCAGACGAGAAGTAGTGGGAAATTGAAAGAAGGGAGCTGAGTGATCTTGATAGGGTTTGCGTGATGAACGAATCGGCAACAAAAACACAAACATCTCTTTCCCACTCAATTATAATTACAAGTAGATTCACTTGGAGCCCAGCGTCAAAACAGGGTTGCTTTCACAGAAACACTCTTACATGACAAACAGAAGAGCAAAGCAAATATCAAGAAAGCGTGAGAGAACGTGTGTGATTCCGACCTAACAGGTTTTGTTGAATATTCGACCTTGAGAAAATGACATAAAGTGTTTCAACAACATGCTATGCTCAGTGACGTTCGCACTTGCTCAAAACTGATTACTATGGGGAACGTTAACGTTCAGAGAATTCAAAGTCACTGCCACTCAATTGCCTTTTCTAACAAACACTGTTGATCTGATCATTTTCAACACTTCACGAATCAAATAATCAGGATAATTATTAGGAAAATATAAGACGCAGCGATTCTGATTTGCGAAGGATTGAAAACAAGATAAAGTGTTTGCCGATTTTGATCAATCCCTTTTGGGATGCGGCACGCATTCTACTTCCATTTGTACATTCGCAGTGGCATTTGAATGCGATGTGGCCTATACAATGACTTGCGGGGGCCAGCCGATGTACAAGTCAGTGTTTTATATCCTCCAGACAAGTCTGGTACCACTTTACCGACCCCGGAGGATGGAAGGCTTGGTGGGCCCGGGCGATCACGACCCCAGGGATTTGATCCCAGGACCGCTCGCGTGGTAAGCGGGCCACTTGCCTACACCACTTCCGCCCATACGTGAGGTAGTAAGAGAGACACTCAGATAGTTTGGATTTCGCCTGATTTGTGATTGGAAGGTGATTCCAATCACACAGGAATGCGAAGAAGCAATCAAATAATTGATGAGCAACGAGACTTTGCAAGAAATAGATTCTTAGAGTTTAAAAGCCTTCAATTTACTCTTCACCTGTTGGGTCAGTAGATGACGCCAATGTGCTCATCGTTCTTTAACACTGAAATGAAGTCTAGGTGATTTATTATGGAACTATAGAATACTTAAGGTTAAATTCGCATCGGTTATCAGAAGTGTGCAATGAAAAGTTTCTATATTGTTGTCGTTGTTCAGCTTGCGCCTATTGCTCCCCAACCGTTATTTCCGGGGACGGTGCAAAGGAAAAAAAATTTGAATCAAAAAATTGAAAAAAAAATTTTTACTTTTTTTGTTGCTCCGCGAGCTTCGTATTGGTCCAACTTTGTACGGGGTTAAAAGACTGATTAGAAGATAAAAAGACTAAAGACTCATTGGACTTCTAGGAGCACGAAATCAGGAGAAAAAGCATGAATATGTGAACATACATGCTGAAATTAAAAATGTAATTGAAGGCACTAAGATGAGCGTCGATTGTGTCTAACAATGCTTTCCAGATCAGTGTCAGAGGAGGCGCTTGTGTTATGAAGTTATAATGGTTGTGATCGAGCAGAACGCTTTGAATGATACTTGGAGACTGTCATGTTTTTACATACCTACAAGTAAATCTGCGTGAAACAAGTGCTTGAACACGAAGAATACTCGTTATTCGTCGCTGTTTAATCTCCCAACAGGTGCATGCGTTGCGCAAATTCCAAATTTTTTTTTGCGACCCCCTCCATTTCAAGGGGTGTCAGTGCGACCCTCCCCCTATTGGACATGTGTGTTTTTTAGTGTTACGGTGTATTTCTGTGTGTATCAACGTCAAAAATAGATCTAATATTCGTGATCAGGACCTCCGATAGACCCCAATAGACGAAGTTTAGGGGACGAAAAAATTTTGAACATCGTTGCTCCTACTGAGGGTTGTAATAATGCAATAGCGCCGGGGAACCCTTCCGTACTGCTTTAGAGGCCTTTAGCACGGCCTCTAAAGCAGTACGGAAGGGTTCCCTAACAAAAAGAGAACAGAAACATTCCTTAACAGAAATAAATAAGGCAGGAAACCGAATAGTAAAGTTTGAATGTAGGAATTCGCGCCCTTACCGCGGCGCAAGGTAGCGTGTGGAGCGGCGGATTTGAGGCAAAATGAAATATCAAAAGTTTTATTAGAGGAATTGAGAGGATTTTTTGTAAACCTAGGTACCGTTATGTTCCTAGTGGTTTCTAATTTCAGGTATGTGCCAAGATTTCCGTCAACGTCCAACCGTCTTTCTTGTAGAAGCTGGAAAATCTAAATCTCCAATAGTTACGGGCGCCTTCTTTGAAAGCTTATATCTTCGTCCACAGGCGTTTTCATGGAACCGGACACCAAAATTTTAAAAATACAAATAGTTTTCTTTCAAAAAAGTATTTGAAATGTTGCGGATGTTCAATATTTCAAAAAATCGTCCCGTTGTTCCGTTTTTTGTGCACACGCGAGTTTTCGACATTCAAACATTCATAACTTTCTTCATAATCAACTTTTTGCAAATGTCTAAGGCTAATTAGAAACTAGAAGATTAGAGCTTTCGAACAAGCACCTGAAAATTTTCCAGCGAATCACTCGTTCAAAAAATAGTCCCGTTGTTCCGTTTTTTTCCTAGACTTTTTTTTCAAGCCTTTTTCCTGGACCGCGACTTGCAATCTTCAAAGGCCCATAACTTCCTTCAAACTTCATGTGATGAGAAGCGGTAAAGACCGTTAGAATCTACTCGAAGAGTACTTCATACAAGCGTTAAATTTTCCTGAATTCTTTCTTCTGCCTCAATTTCCTAAGGGGTCTTTAGAATTCAATTCAGCAAGTTCGCTACACTTTGTTCCGCTTAGATTTGATTTGAAAGCATCGAAATTCTCTTCAGGAAGTTTGTCTGCTTACGGCCGCTGACAGAGAAGGCGTTTTTATGGGAAAACGCCTGCTCGGGTATACGCCGTGCACCTGTCTGTGGGCAGAAGTCGCACTCGCATTTGAAAGTCCTCCATTTTCCTGAAGAAGGTGTTAGTATCGTGATTGAGTTGCATTGTACTGTTATATGGTACTCTTGTTTCACTTCCCCATGAACTGCTCTACACTTTGTTCTCCTTGGGATTTCAGGAATGTTCGATCATCGAAGACAGACCATGTTTTTGCACTACGCTGTAACAAAGTTTTTGGCTATTGTAAT